TAAGTTCTTTCCAGAAATAAGAAGCAGAGGGAACAATTCTTCACTTGCTTTATGGCCCAAACATAATCTTGTTCCCAAAATCTGGAAATATTAAAATCAAGGCAACTACGGACCAAAACTCTCATGAACACAGATGTGTAAAAATCCCTTTAAAAAAAACCCCATACACACAATAAATCAAATCCAGCAATACAAGTTTGGTTTTCCATTAAAAATATTTCTGCACTACTCCACATTAAAAGAATAAAAGAAAATCTGAAGACCATCTCAATAGGTGGAGAAAAAGTCTTCGACAAAACTCAACATAAGAATTTTAGTGAACTAGGAATAATCACTTCCTCAAATGAGTAAAGGATAACTAAGAATAACAGTTAACATCATATCTAATGGTAAACAAACTATTTTCCTCTAAAATCAGCAACAAGAAAAGGTATTTCCTCTCACTACTTCTCAGAACCTTGTACTAGAGGCCCTAACCAAAGCAATAAGTAAAGAAATAGAGGTAAAAGTCCTACAGATCAGGAAAAAAATAAGTAAAATTTTAGTTATCTGGTATATGCTACGATTATGTATATATAACCATCCAATCTGAACTTTTAATTTTTTTCATTCCATAATAAATGGTAGAGTACTTTTTAATCTAGTCATTAAAGAAGACATCTAGAGAGACTGGCTTATGTTAACTTTTATAAGAAGGAAGAACATTCCAAATAAAACCATGAAGCTTGGTAGTAGTACAAAGTTTAGAAAACAAAGTTTTCATCTAAACATGTTTTTAAAACAAGGGGTACAACCCACCAGTGGATCAAGAAATTAAAGTATTAAAATAACCTTTAAAAGGAGAATAAAAGGGCAGCCCGGGTGGCTCAGCGGTTTAGCGCTGCCTTCAGCCCAGGGCGTGATCCTGGAGACCATGGATCGAGTACCACATCAGGCTCCCTGCATGAAGCCTGCTTCTCCCTCTGCCTGTGTCTCTGCATCTCTATCCTCTCTGCGTTTCTCATGAATAAATAAATAAAATCTTTAAATAAATAAAATCTTTTAAATAAACAAACAAACAAACAAATAAATAAATAAATAAATAAATAAATGAAAAGAAACAGCAAAGAAAAATCAGAGCACATCAAATATATTAAGGGTGAGTTCTGTTGCCCATGTATGAATGTAGTAAAAGATAAGATTTCTTTCTGAGGGTTATACTTAAAAGATCTTAAAACACTGATTTAATGTAGCAGGTAAGGATTTGGATTATTTCATTAGAATTATAACCATATACAAACTGGTGACCCTTAACAAGAGCATAACAGTATTTAGATAAGAAGAGAGGAAAGATCATCTTATTATAGGAAAACTTCAGTAACCATCTATTTGGAAAGGAGTAGAGAGATTTCTGATATAAAATAAATATATTTTAGCTGTGAGGTCTTCACTTCAAATATATATCAGAAATCTCATTATGCTGGGGCCCCTGAGTGGTGTAGTCAGTTAAGTGTCTGACTCTTGGCCTCGGCTTAGGTCATGACCTTGGGGTTATGAGATCAAGCCCTTCATTGAGGTCTGCTGGATTTTCTCTCTTCCTCTCCCTCTGTCCCCCCACCCCAGTTGATCTCTCTCGCTAATAAATAAATAAATAAATAAATAAATAAATAAATAAATAAATAAATAATCTTTAAAAAAAATCTCATTTTGCTAAATGCAGAAAGAATGCATGTCAATAATTCCTAAGTGCTCTTACTGACAATTTCATAATTCCGAAATCAGAGAAGTGGTAAATGTTTGAATCAGAAAACCTGGATTTGAAAGAGACCAGAGATTTCATTTACCCTGTTATGGGCTGAATTTGTGTCCCCTTCCCTATCCCTAAATTCGTATGTTGAAGCCCTAAACCATGGAATATAACCATATTTACAAAGTCAGCTTTTAAGTAATAATTAAGTTAAAATGGGTTCATTAAGGTAGGCCCTAATCCAATTATGAGTGGTGTCCTTACAAGAAGAGATTATAACACAGATAACACAAAGGACTGATGGGCAACTATGGGAGGACACAGCAAGAAAGAAGCCATCAAATCAAGAAAGGCCTCAGAAGAAACCTACTTGCTGTCACTCTAAATTTGGAATTCTAGCTTCTGGACTGTAAGAACATTTATTGTTTAAGCATTCAATCTCTGGTATTTTCTTATGGCAGTCCTAGCAAACTAATATACACACTTATATTCATAAATTAACCACCTATGTTTGGTTTACCTAAATATTCTCATGGCTAATTTATACAAAATTAAGACCAGAATACAGACTAGAACTTGTTAACAATATAAAAATATAAAAATGGGTCAGTGATGGTAAAATGGCAAGTACCAACAGACACTAATCCTAGAAATCATAATATTAACAGTAGAGCAAAAAAGGAGGGTGATATGAAACCATTTCAAAAAGACTCCTGAAACAGGCATGAAAGCAATGTCAGATACCTTAGAAAGGACTCTTTTCTCAAAAGAGAAAGCAAGAAGGCTTGTCTAAAAAGTTCAATTCTAGCCACATAACTTGAAAAGTCCAAAAGTAGACACAAAGAGGGAAAGGTACCAAAGAAACAAAAAAGGCAGCACAGGGAGTTGTCTATCAGACTTGGTTTTAAAAAGGACACTTGTGGAGATAAGAAATGTAGTTTATCATCCAGTCAGATTAAAGACAGAAGATGGACGATAGATGCAAAAAAATACTAGGGGGGAAACTTCCTATAAAAAAAATAAACTGTAGGAAGCTTTAAAATGATGATAGAATATAAATATAAATGACAAAGTATAAAAGATTGTACTCTTATTTGCTTTCATCAAGAAAAATTTTCAATGCTTACACAAGATAAGTGATGCTATTAAGACATTATCTAGCTCCTTGAGACAGAATGGTATAGGAAAAAGAGCACAGGTATTAGAGTCAAATGTACCTGGGTTTAACTCTCAGCATTGTCACTTATTGTAGAGGCAGTACTGCATAGTGGGTTAAAAGTGCAGGCTCTGAAACTTTTGGGTTTCAATTTCAGTGTTGCCACTTAAAGCTAAGTAACCCTAGACAAGTTCTTTAACCTTCCTGTGCCTTAGTTTCCTTATCTGTAATATAGAGATTGTAATATAGAGATGATAGCACCTACTTTATATGGTTCATACAGCTTACAGAAGTTATTACACTTAAAATACCGAGAACAGTGTATGACACATACTGTTTAATAAGTGATAGTAATTACTGTTCTATTTGTTCTTTATTGTTCATTTTTATCCTGGACATTTATTATAATTATTGTTGTTACGGACATTGTACAAGTTACCTATACGCATTATGCCTAAATGTTTCTCTTCTATAAAATATCAAAAGATAGGAGTTAAGGAACTACTAAATATAAAGCACCTAACAAATATACTCAATAAACATTACTTGCCAACTCCTATCCAAATTTTGAAATAAACAACCTATACTTAAGATACTGAACATAAGAAAGCATTGTACAGATTCTCAATAAAACTTTAGAATATATTATCAAAGAGATGATTTAATGACAATGGGATAAAAAAACAACAATTACAAGACAGTATAAGCTCAAGAGAAATAATACATGACAAGCTAATCATTTAACTTCTAACAGGGTTAGTAGCCTGGGAGGAGAAAAACAACAAATAGTATACCTTGATCTTAGCAAGACATTCCAATACTAATTTTCATAATAACCTTATAGAATACAGTAAAAAAAATCTAGATGATTAACAGTACAATTAAATGAATTTGTAGCTGGAGGAAAATTCTTGCCCCTCAAAATTCGTGAATAAAAGGTCAGCTTGCAAACAGGTTTTTACTGGCCCTATCTTATTTAAACCTTTAAGTAGACATTAATGAAAATTGCAAGATTTTGAAATTTATACAAAGAAACTTAAAAATTTCTGTAGGAAAACCCTGAATGTGTAGTTGACATGGGCAAAAATTTGCTAACCAACAAAGATAGATCTTACTACTAAGGGATAAAAGAGCATGATATGCTATGCTATGGTGCCAAATTAAGAGAAGAATGCCCAGATCAAAAGAATATAAACAGAAGTCAGAAGACAGAGGAAAAACTTATCAAGTTTCTTTCTTTTTTTAACCAAAATCTTGTATTTTTCATTAATGTCTACATTATATAACAACACTATTGTGTATATTAAAATTTCTCAAACTCCTTTTTCTGTTTGCCATCTAATGTAAAAACTATGAACAAAAAAGTAGTTAGAACTAGTCCCATCTTACTATTGTTTTCTTGAGATTCAGAGGGGTATATGAGTTTCCTTAGATCAAGTTGGTCCAAAGTATGAATGTGGAGCATGTGATCATTTTGTCTTTAGTAACTTTTCCTCTTTAATAAAGTAATACTATTGTCATTATACACGTGTTAGAATTCAGAGAATTTATTTTTTATTTTTTATTTTTTTAATTTTTATTTATTTATGATAGTCACACACACAGAGAGAGAGAGAGAGAGAGGCAGAGACACAGGCAGAGGGAGAAGCAGTCTCCATGCACCGGGAGCCCGACGTGGGACTCGATCCCGGGTCTCCAGGATCGCACCCTGGGCCGAAGGCAGGCACCAAACCGCTGCGCCACCCAGGGATCCCAGAATTCAGAGAATTTATTTTCCCTAATTAGACACTGTATTAAAAATATTAACAAGAAAATTTAAATTTTCTTTGATATGAAAAAAATGGAAGTAAAAGAAACTCACATAAAATAAATAAAAATTTTATTTTTCCTAATATTATGCTAAAAGAAAAAAAAAAAGGCTAAATGGATCAGTTAAATAGAATAAATAATGCTTTCCTGAATGGCCATAAAATGTTTTTCATGTTATTACTCTTAAAGTAACAAAATGTAGACATTTCTTTAATCTACTGGCAACATTACATTTCTCATCTCTGCATGCTTAAATAAAACAATCTATACTTTAATTTTAATGATGTAAGTACAAGGTAAAACCATTACCTTGGGTGTGCTTCCTTTAATGAATTTTTTAATTGAAGACAACAAGCCGGTTTCATTTTTCGGTGTTTTTTCTCCTCCTGAAGGCAGGCTATCATCAACCTCTGAATATTTCCTCTTTGCTCTAGCAGTGCGTTGTGTTTGAATTTGATTTGATTGCTGAGAAGCCTTCCGTGTTCTCAGCCTCATCTTTTATGAGTGCCACATATAAAACTGTAAGAGAAAAATAACAAAGGTTATTACAATTAAACCTAACATACCCAAACATGCCAGCTTATGTAAGAAAAATCTCTTGCTCCAAGTCTCTAGGGATTAAAGTAAGAAACCAACATTTTTAAGTGGAAAATTGCTTTGAACTTTTACCTTCCCAACAACTTCTAAAATATTATACCCTTTCCAACAACTTCTAAAATATTATACCCTATGATCTAATAAAAATGGGAGTAACATCAGGGTGCCTGGGTGGCTCAGTATCAAAGGTTAAGCATTCAACTCTTTTCTCTTTTTTATAAAGATTTTATTAGAGAGAGAGAGAGAGAGAATGAGCAGTGGGTGAGACAGAGGGAGAGACAAAGAAGCAGACTCCCTAGGAGCAGGAAGCATGACTCCGAGTTCAATCCCAGGACCTAGAGATCATGACCTGAGCCAAAGGCAGATGCTTTACAGGCACCCAGGCACCTCAGCATCCATCTCTTGGTTCTGACTCAGGTCATGATATCAGGGTTGTGAAATCAAGTCCTGTGTTGGGCTCTGTGCCAGGCATGGAACCTGCTTAAGATTTTCTCTCTCATTCATACATACATAAATGTGCATACTCTTTCCACAGCACTATGCTGCCACCACTCATGCTGACATTATCATTCATTTAATCATTCAACAAATAATTATTAAGCACTTAACATAATCAAGACACTGGGCTAGGTTAAGTACCTAGCAAAGAATAAACAACATATGGAAGGTTTTTGACTTCTGGAGCTCACAATGTAGTGCAAAAATCCTCAATGAATGAATGAATTACATGAGCATGATTCTAATGATCAACAATCATACAAGTGTAAGAAGAGCAGTTCGATCATTCAATATTTTTAAAAATATTTTACTTAATTTGAAAGAGAGTATGAGCAAGGAGGAGCAGAGGGAAAAGCAGATTCTCCGCTGAGTGGGGAGCCCGATGTGGAACTCGATCCCAGGACCCTGGGGGTTATGACCTGTGTTGAAGGCAAACACTTAACCAACTGAGCCAATCAGGCACCCCTGGATCATTCAATTTATAGGATCATTTGATCCTACCACACATAATGATACTTTACTTTTTTTAAAAAAAAAAAAAAGATTGTATTTACTTATTTCTTTGAGAAAGTGAGAGAGAGAGAGAGCAAGAGAGAGCACCAGCAGGTGGGGAGAAGCAGACTCCTGCTGAGCAGGAAGCCCAAAGTGGGGCTTGATCTCAAGACCCCACTCATGACCTAAGCTGAAGGCAGATGCTTAACCAACTGAGTACCCAGGCGCCCCCATAATGATACTTTAAATTTTGAATTCACACTAGAAAGAAAATATGAGACAATCCACTTGGAACTCTTACTTTCTCGAGAAAATTAATGGCTGACAAAACTGTATCAAGACACAAATATTAAAGTACATACCCTAAATTAGAATCTGAAACAGAATATAAAAACTACCAAACTAAGAATTAAGAAATGTGAATTCTAATCTATTTCAATCATAGCTAAACTATAGTCACTAGTTTTCTCACCTGTATAAAGAATACATTCAATTACCATCCTGAGCCTCAAATGAAAAAGGAATTAGAAAAGTCTAAAGTGCAAAGAATAATGCTACTAACAACAGTGAAGGCATTCAAAGAAAAGTATAACCCCATTTAAGCATTCTAAACTCCTAAAGATGCAGAAATTCCTGGCAAAGGTTAGAGTCTTTACCGACCAATTAAGAAGCTTAAGACATTGTATCTTTACCAATTCAATATAACAGTCACAGAAAAAAAAGTTAGAAACTTTTAGAAAGTTATGTATACAAAATCTACTCTAACAAAAACCCCAAACTCAAAGGATTCACCAGAGGAGTCCCTAAATTATCTTCACAAACAACTATTTTTTTCCTGTCAACAAATAGTGTTCAGTTTTAAGTTGCTATCCCAAAATAAAAAAATACTGTCTTTTCTCCTACACAGTCCATGTTAACTTCAAAGGTGTTTTTATCATTCAAGGTATGTATTATTTACTTTAAAACCCTATTTAGAGTGCATAAATGTTGACTTAATGCCTTAGTTACCGAGCACAGCACTCCTTAGAAAAGGAAAATGCTCATATAGAAAATGCAAGAGGGAATTTCTCAAAACTGTTTTTAACCAATTGCTATAATACCTTTAAAAATTTTTTAAAAATACCCAAGAACGAATCTATCTTAAACCCAAAATCATTAAATGGAAATGATAAAATCTTATGAAATAATACATTGACATAAAGTAGGTCTTAAAAAACTAAAAGTATATATATATATATATATATATATATATATATATATATATATAGAGAGAGAGAGAGAGAGAGAGAGAGAGAGAGGGAGAGAGGGGTGTAAATCCAGTCTCAGCAAGTTTGGTTCTTTAAAACTTAAATACTTATTGGTCACCTGCTACTAGAACATTAAGGATAAAAATTATAGCCTATGCCCACGAGAATCAAAAAGTCTGTCAGATAAGTATACATATCATAATGTACATATAAAATACTAGATCATTCCCCATAAAAACAATGAAGATAGTCCTGGGAAAGCTTAGGAGAAAGGTCCTTTGAGTTAAAAATAACCAGCAGGCATTTACTGGGAAAAAGACAAGAGCATTTAAAGAAGGACCTGAAAAGTAGGTTTTTGTCCATCCCAACAGTGAACTGTAAAAGGTGTACTTGATATGCCTAAAAGGGCTCCACGGGGCAAGATGGCTGGACAAGGAGGGCCCCCAGAGGTGATGCAGTGCCAGACCATATGCCGTTCTGGAGGGCCATGCAGGTGTGAGCAAGTAAACTCACAGCCCCACCCAACAAATGTGTGTTGGCTTTTCTCCCCATGGCCATGAGGGCATGCCAATAAAGCCTGTGCCCTGATAGGCAATTCTAGCATTTTGCAGCCCTGACCTGGAACCTGCCAGAGGGCTGTTGGAGGCATGAGGCCAATCAAGTAGGTCCCTCTGTCCAGAAAGGTACAACACTAAGCACTCCCTGCCTATGGGCACAGGGAAGCATGGCCTCCCCCAGGGCAGCCACCTCTGCTGGTTGCTCTGTGCTTTCATCTTAAAGCTCTCCCAAGCAGAGGCTCTTGTGTGGGCAGAGAAGCTGTTGGTGAGCACCTCAAATTTGCTGTGCTGGCTGCTGCGGAAGAATATGCTCCATGTTCTAATTTTCAGGCTAAACCCACCAAAGTGTGTTTCCACAGGGTATGGGGAGAAAGTCATATGCAGCTCATCTAAGAGGAATGAATTCAAAAGCTGCCGCTCAGCTCTGATAGAACACTTATTGGGGAAATCTGAAGGGGCCATCGTGGGTATGGCCTTGGTCTTCCTTTGCCTTGTTCATCAATGACAGGAGGATAGAAAAGCTCTGGAGGGGCTCCTGGGTAGCTCAGTCCATTGGGCGCCTACCTTCAGCTAGGGCTATATTCCCAGGGTCCTGGGGTGTGGCCCAGCAGAGGCTCCCTGCTCAGCAGGGAGTCTGCTTCTCCCTCTGCCCCTCCCCACTGCTCATGTTCTCTCTCTCTCTCAAATAGGTAAATAAAATCTTAAAAAGGCAAGGCAAAGCAAGAGAAGAGCAGAGCAGAGCAAAACAAAGCTAAGCTAAGCTTTGGAAACAGTCTGGGAGCAAATTGAGTCCATATAACTACCTTCTACTCTTTCATAGTAGTCTTAGGGACTGTACCTCAGATAGAGACAGTAGAATAAATGGACTTGTGCCTCTCATTCTTGGGAACTTGCAAGGGTACTTCCCCCTCCATGTCTTACCTAGACTTTAACAAGCAAAATAAAGAATAGCTCCCTTCCCTATTATAATTTGGTCTATAACAGGAAGTCATGGTGGCAGAAGTAAGACAGCAACTTTAGGTCCCAGTTTACCAACTACCTATCTTCTCCATCTTCTACTACTTATTTAAAATTTTCAGTATGTAATTTCAGCAAAGAAGTTTATTTCTCAGCCAAAACCTCTGTTTCCCCTCAACTCTAACACCAAAGAAAAAATAAAATTGCAAGTGTGTTAAAAAAAAAAAAAAAGGCAGCTAAAAAGGCTGGAGCAGTTAAGCCCTCATGAACTTTAAAAACAAACTACTCACACAAGAGATGAAGAAAACATATACTTTTCAATTTTTCATGAAATACTTACCAAGACACACCACATGCAGAAATGTAAAACAAGTCTAAATAAATATAAAGAAAATTTTAAAGAATATATTCTGACCACAATTATAAAATCAAAAACAAAGAATCTTAAAAAGTACCAAATATCTGAAAAATGTAAAATATATTTATTAATAAAATCGTTAGTAAAAGAAGAAAAGAAAGAAAAGAAAAAGAAAACCACAAGGGAAATACAAAATATTTTGGACAAAAAAAAAAAAAAAACAGCAGCATATCAAAATTTGTGGGATGTAATAAGCAGCATTTAGAGGGAAATTATAAACATATATGCACCTCACACCAGAGTCTCAAAATATAAGAAGTAAAAACTGCCAAACAAAAGTGAAAAATGGACAATTCCACAATAGGTAGATATTTCAATACCTCACTTTCAATAATGAATAGAACTAGACAAAAGATCAATAAAGATCAAAGACATGAACAATTCTCTAGACCTAAGAGACACACATGGAACATTCCATTCAACAACAACAGAATACAGAACATTGTCCAGGATAGACTATATTTTAGGACATAAAACAAGTCTCAATAAACTGAAAAGGACTGAAATCATACAAGTATCCAGTTTCCAACCACAATGGAATGAAATTAGAAATCACAAGGAAAGAAACTTGAGAAATTAACAATCATGCAGCAATTAAACAACAAACTCCTAAATACGTAAGCACCGTGTCAAAAAAGAAATCACGAGAATTAGAAAATATTTCAGGATGAAACAAAACAAAATCAAAACACACCAAGACTTATAAGATGCTCGCAAAACAGTGCTTAGAGGGCAATTTACGTAAATGCTTAT